GGTTGACCTAATTAATGCAGCCTAACAATCCTTTAACGGATTTGAATAATAGAAATGTGATAAGTGTGTTATGTGTATGCCAGGTTAAAGAGATGGGTCTTTAATCTAGTTTTAAACTGCCAGAGTGTGTCTGCCTCCCAAACAATAGGTAGATTGTTCCAGACTTTAGGCGCTAAATAGGAAAAGGATCTGCCACCCACAGTTGATTTTGATATTCTAGTAATTATCAAATGGCCAGAGTTTTGAGATTGCAGTGGATATGAAGAACTATAATGTGATTTTTGCTCGCTCAAGTACTGAGGAGGCCATTCAGGGATTTATAAGTAATTAGCAAAATATTAAAATGTATACGATGTTCAATAGGGAGCCAGTGCAGAGTTGACAGAACCAGGCTAATATGATCATAATTCCTGGTTCTAGTAAGAACTCTAGCTGCTGCATTTTGGACCAGCTGGCGTTTGTTTATTAAGTGCGCAGAGCAACCACCCAATAAAGCAGTACAATAATCTAACCTTGAGGTCATGAACACATGAATTCACTTTTCTGCATTTGACATTGAGAGCATAGGACATAATTTAGATATATTTTTAAGATGGCAAAATGCGGTTTTACAAATGCTAGAAACATGACTTTCAAAGGAAAGGTTGCTATCAAATAGCACACCTAGGTTCCTAACTGATGACGAAGAATTGACAGCACAGCCTTCAAGTTTTAGACAGTGTTCTAGATTATTACATGCAGAGGTTTTTGGTCAGTTAATTAACACCTCTGTTTTTTTTTCAGAATTTAGCATTAGGAAATTACTAGTCATCCAGTTTTTTATATCAACTATGCATTCTATTAGTTTTGCGAATTGGTATGTATCGTCAGGCTGCGAAGAAATATAGAGCTAAGAATCATCAGCATAACAGTGAAAGCTAAAACCATGTTTCCTAATGATATCTCCCAAGGGTAGCATGTAAAGCATAAAAAGCAGTGGTCCTAGTACTGAGCTTTGTGGTACTCCATACTGTACTTGTGATCAATATGATACCTCTCCATTCACTACTATGAATTGATGACGGTCAGATAAGTAAGAATCATGACAATGCAATTACATTAATGCCAACATAATTTTGTTGTCTACTCAACAGAATGTTGTGGTCGATAGTGTCAAACGCAGTGCTAAGATCCAGTAGCACTAATAGAGAAATACAACCACAATCAGCTGATAAGAGCAGGTCATTTGTAACTCTGATGAGAGCAGTCTCTGTACTATGATACGGTCTAAATCCTGACTGGAAATTCTCACAGATACCATTTTTCTCTAAGAAGGATACTACCTTTTCTAGCATTTTTGACAGAAAAGGGAGATTTGAGATTGGTCTGTAATTAACTGATTCTCTAGAATCAGTTTTTTTAATGAAAGTAAATAAAATAACAGCCAGTTTAAAGGATATTGGGACATATCCTAATGACATTGATGAATAAATAATATTCAGAAGAGGATCTATGACTTCTGGAAGCACCTCTTTTAGTAGCTTAGATGGAATAGGGTCTATCATACATGTTGGTTTTGATGATTTGACAAGTTTATAAAATTCTTCCTCTCCTATAGCAGAGAATGAGTGGAATTGTTCCTCAGGGGATCTATAGTACACTATAGCTGATATAGCTGATAGTATATATATATATATATAGCACTATATCTGATGTGATACTGTAGCTGACAGCTGCATGGTTAGAATTTTATCTCTAATAGTATCGATCTTGGAAGTAAAGAAGTTCATAAAGTCATTACTGCTGTGTTGTTGGGAAATGTCTGCACCTGTTGATGCTTTATTTATTTATTTGTTTTTTGTTAATTTAGCCACTGTATTGAATAAATGCCTGGGGTTGTGTTTGTTTTCTTCTAAAAGAGACAAAAAGTAAGCAGATCTTGCAGTTTTTAGAGCTTTTCTAAAAGTAGAAGTACTTTCCCTCCATGCAATACAAAATACCTATAGTTTTGTTTTGTTCAAGCTGCACTCCATTTTCTGGGGTGCTCTCTTTAAGGCACAAATGTGCTCATTATACCACGTTGTCTGACTTTTTTCCTTAATCTCTTTAAGTGTAAAGGAGCAACCATATCTAAAGTGCTAGAAAAGGGAGAGTCCATAGTTTCTGTTACAACATCAAGTTTTTCTGAGCTATTGGATTTGCAGAGGAATTGAGACAAATCAGGAAGATTATTTACAAAGCAGTCTTTTGTTGTAGAAGTGATGGTTCTACCATATTTGTAATAAGTAGTTGAGTTTGCAGCTTTAGATATTTGGAGTATACACAAGACTAGATAATGATCTGAGATATCATCACTGCTGCAGAATTTCAAAGCCATTAACATCAATTCCATTTGACAGTATTAAATCTAAAGTATAATTACGACAGTGAATAGGCCCTGACACGTGTTGTCTGACCCCAATAGAGTTTAGAATGTTTATAAATGCTGATCCCAATGGTCTAATATCAAATGATTCTCAAAGTAGATCCTGACTTTATGTTTCATCTCAGCCTCCAAGGATATGCTGTATGCCTCCCAGATCTGCTACCTCACAGCTCAATGTCCCTTTGGCTGGTATACAAACAAATCAGAATGTCTTGTGCTTCTGGGCAGCAAGCAAAGGTGAGGATTCAGCATGGACACTAAGATATCTAAATGGCTGAGTTCCTGAATACAAATGGCTTTTCCATTTACATTTACATTTACATTACATTTACATTTAGTCATTTAGCAGATGCTTTTATCCAAAGCGACTTACAAATGAGGACAATGGAAGCAATCAAAATCAACAAAAGAGCAATGATATACAAGTGCTATAACAAGTCTCAGTTAGCTTAATGCAGTACAGGTAGCAAGGTTTTTTTTTAAATAATATAATAAATAAAAAGAAAACAGAGAGAATAGAAAAAGAATAGAGCAAGCTAGTGTTAGAGGTCGTTTTTGTTTTTGTTAATTGTATAATAAATGAAAAGAAAACAGATAGAATACAAAAAGATTAGAAAGAAAGTGTTAGTTTTTTTTTTAAGGAAACAAGCAGCAAATGAATAGAGTGCAAGTCTAAAAGGGACAAGTGTTTTTTTATTTTCTTTTTAAGAATATAATTAGAATAGAGAGTGCTAGAGTTAGAGGGTAAAATAAAGATGGACGAGATGTGTTTTTAGCCGATTCTTGAAGATGGCTAAGGACTCAGTTGCTCGGATTGAGTTGGGCAGGATATTCCACCAGGAGGGAACATTTCATTTAAAAGTCCGTAAAAGTGATTTTGTGCTTCTTTGGGATGGCACAATAAAGCGACATTCACTTGCAGAACGCAAGCTTCTAGAGGGCACATAAGTCTGAAGTAATGAATTTAGGTAAAGGGGTGCAGAGCCAGTGGTGGTTTTGTAGGCAAACAT